TGTTTATTAAAAAAATCTGATAAGTTTATTTTGATTTTATCAGATTTTTTTTTTTCAATCAATATATAATTAATTTACAGTGACCGTAAATGATTTATCATTATATCAATTATTATTTGGATTGATATATTTGATGCAATGTATCATTCGTTATGATTATTAGGGATGGAGTAAAAAAAATTAGTGTAAATGATTTAAAGAATGAATTAACGGAGAAAAGTAATAGATAGATATATTATGATTACATTATTGTTGTTATTTATATTATATTATTTATTTTTATGCGTGTTTTGTTTATTAAAAAAATCTGATAAGTTTATTTTAATTTTATCAGATTTTTTTTTTCAATCTTATAATTAATTTAAATGATTTATCATTATATCAATTACTATTTGGATTGATATATATTTGATGCAATGTATCATTCGTTATGATTATTAGGGATGGCGTAAAAAAAATTAGTGTAAATGATTTAAAGAATGATGAATTAACGGAGAAAAGTAATAGATATATTATGATTACATTATTGTTGTTATTTATATTATATTATTTATTTTTATGCGTGTTCTGTTTATTAAAAAAAATCTAAGTTTATTTTAATTTTTATCAGATTTTAGGAAAATATATTTACGATGATCATAATAATATATGTATATAATAATAAATATTACCTAATACTATATTATGTCATTATATATGATATTAATAATAGCGGATAAAAACGGATTGATAAAAAAAAAAAAAAACCTTGACGCATAATAAAAATGAAATTTTTTTCTTTAATTATGATATTTCACGATATATACATGAATGAACCATCATCTATTAAATTTGGTCTTGTGATACACAAATAGTATAAATAGACAATCAAATATTTATTTTCATCAAAACTCTTTTCATCAAAAAAAAATAAATTATATTTTCATAAATAAATTAATAAAGAAAAAAAGCCAAAGAAAAAAATGAGGTAAAAAAAAACCATCAATCATATCATTTTTTTCATTCTTCAAAGTTAATTTTCATATTTCTTGCATTCTAGTCAACCACCTCCATCAAAAGATTCCGTCAATCCTAATTTACAACCACCAAAAGATACGCTTTTTACACCAGCAGAACTTGCAAAGGTAAATTAATTGTTTATTAAATATTATTACTTTTTATATATAATCTTATTTAGTAATAATGACGATGAATATATATATATATATATATAAACATTAGTATGATGGTACAGATGCAAGTCAACCAATTTATGTAGCTATAAAAGGTACAATTTTTGATGTAACAACTAAAAGAGAAAGTTATGGACCTGGTGGAAGTTATAATGTTTTTGCTGGTAAAGATGCTTCAAAGGTAACTTAATAATGATAATATTATTGTTATTGTTATAATTATAAAGGTTAGATTATATTAATAGATTTTTATTTAGGCACTTGGAATGGGTTCATTACAACCAGAAGATGTAATCGCAGATTATAGTAGTTTGGATGATAAACAAGTAATTACTTGTCTTTTTTTACTTTTCACATTAAGAAAGAAATTTTTGAAACGTTTAATTAATTGATTCCTTTTTCTCCACGTGATCACTTATTAACAATAGTTAAAGGTTCTTGAAGATTGGTTCGAATACTTCAAAAAAAGATACAATATTATAGGAAAGCTTTAATTTTTTTTTGCCTTGATAGTAAAGATGATAAAGGATTTATACTAGAAGTCTTAAAAGAAGAATAATTAGATAGATAATTAATTGTAAAATCTTTTGATTATCTATACCTGTTATAAATGATTAATAACTGTTGTATAACTAATAAATAATGATTTTAGTAAATAATTTTTAAATATATTTTTTTATTATTTTTATTAATTATATTTTATTTGTTATTGGCTAAAAAAAATGAAGGTGTAGAAGATGCAGGTAAATTGTTGTTTCCTAATGGCGGAAATGGGTTTGCTTCACTCAACACTAAAAATTGTTTTTGATGTGCCATATATCCTCTTATATGTCCCTAATTAAATCATAATGATTATTACTATATCACGTGTTTCTATTATAAATATGAAATTGCAACACTTCTTACTTTTTGAATCATTGAAGCCATGTACCACATTACTTCTTTCATTTCTATATCGATACCAACAAATTTTAATGCCGCCTGAAATACTCCTAATGGTAATCTAGTTCCTCGATTTCTAATTAAATATCTATAAAAAAAGTATACACATCAGTAAATAATAAACACTTATCTATTTATTTATATCTACGTACACTTTTTTAAATAATACTCTGACAGCAATTTGTCTTGCCAATTCAACTGTTAGAAAAGTATTTTGTGCAACCAACAACTTTTCCTTCAACACTAATGATTCATCAAATTTCTTAACATTACCGTCTCTAATTGATTCAATAAATGGTGAATATATATTGTACATTCTAGGATAGCTGGAAAGTAATTGTTTTGAAGGTAAAGTTCCTTTAGCCAGCCAAACTGGAATGAGATATCTTAAAATCAATCTAATTAATTAAATAATTAATGAATGAATTAATGAATAAACGAATTGATGAATTATTAGAAAATTTCATTTAAATATTAATAAAGCAATATTATGATTAATCTCATACTCTTTATTTTTAAACGAGCTCTTTGGACACATCCTAAATGCTGCTACAAATTTCTCTTCGGCCTAATTTAATCATTATATTACTAATCAAGTAAATTTTTCGTGTATAACAAATATAGTATAATGTAATACTTTATTTATTTAATAAAACAAATTTTCATACCAGTGCATAATCAGCATCTAAAAATAATAATAGTCCATGATAATATAAAAACGTAACTTTGTGTGGTTTAGGAAATTCCGAGAATGGAGGCAAATCTGCTGATGCTTTTATTGATTTCATTACATTTTTACATAAATTTTGTTGTTTCAACTATTATTATTATGTTTGAGAAGAAGAAAAACAGATTACTATTTAATTTTTAATAAATATATTATTTATATCAATAAATAATATTATGGTTATTAGCAGTTAACCTTAAAATATGTTTTAAACAGTAATCCCGCAATATAATAAGTTCCCCATTTACGTGAAATACTAGATGGTGCCCTAATAATTTATATTTTTTTTCAATGTTATATGTATATATATAGATGTAAATAAAATATATATAAATATATAAATTTAAATATAATTTACCTGTCCGTTATACAACTTGCAAATGACTTATTTATAGTTCTTGCTGCTATCTCTAAATTTGTTGGATCATTACCAAGCCTCATAAACATTATATCTGACTAATAAAATATTTTAACAATTAATAAATATTATAAATATTGCAAGCATTCACATACATCACACGGTAGTAGTTATATAACAATAAAATTCAAAAAATTCACCATTATTGCAAGATTCCTCAAATCTAAACAAACAGTATATAAAATAGGTAAAGACCATCTTGAAAGTGTTTGAAATAACTTTAAAAAATTTCTTTTTTCTTTAAGTGTAATAATTCATCATATTCAAACTCTTTTTCTTGGATAAACGGTAAAATAATAAAAAGGATACATGGCCAAAGTATTTTGTTCTTTAAATGCTTCAATATAATCTTCTTTTTTTAATGCTACTAAAACTTTATAATATTGAATAACAATTTCTTCCCATGGGGGATTTTGTAAAATTCTTCTTGTTTCAATTTCTACTCTTCTCTCCTAATTCAACCAATCAATTTATTATTAGGACAATAATAGTTGACAATTCAATCATTCTAATAAAATAGATCGCTTACACCTATTTTCTCAATTAAAATAACTAATTCTTTAACCCTTGGTAAAGTTATACTCAATAATTCCTTACATCTAACATCCTCCGTGTCAATACATTTTTGAACCTCATCTAAATAAGTTTTTAAAGACATTTTCTATATCTTTGGTTTTATCTACCGAAATCAAAAAGTATATATTTGGTTACTCACTAATCAAGCAAGATAATGAAAAATTATCGGTTTGATAAAAATTTTTTATTTTTAAAATATGCCGATCATTTAAGTGATGATTGCAAAAAAAAAAAAAAATGCAAATGATTTTGATTAAATGAGTCCGTTTAATGAATTTTAAAGATGCTAAATGTGGATTTGGAAAATTCATAAAGCAACGTATGTACTAAAAAGATAATTTAGATATTTTAATATTAAATTTATAAAAAATATACGATTTATTGATAAAAAATATAAAAGATCCGGATGAAAACGATTATCTGTTGGTGTTAAAAATGAAGATTCATTTTGAGTGTCAAACTATCTATTATCATGATTTCGCCGGCAATAGTAAAATTCAAGCCAATGTAATTTACTAGATATTCTCAAATAAGCCCAGTATGTTTTTTGACAAGGAGCGCATTGTAGAATGTTATTTTATTAGATCGGATTCTTTCTTTAAAACATTTGTTCATACTTGTTGATCCGCCATCAATTACTATAAACTAAGATATGATTCGGGAAAAACTTGAAAAGATTCATGCAGTTCAGGAGGCTTTTCTTTTGAGACATTGATGAACAACCACAATTACAGCTTTTTTGAAAAGCCATCATCATATTCGCTATATGTGATTTTTGTGAATATCTCGTGACTTGATCATCCATTGTGAGTCTCTAAAAAATGCCTTTTACTTCTATTCTTTAACAAAACTATCAATCAAGTCTTTATTGAAAAATTGCCACATTTCACGCAAAGCGCAGTTGCATTATTTAAATATATGGATGAAGCCTTTTGTTTTTCGTTGTCTATTGCTTTTAATTGGTTTTAATTAAACTACTTAAATTATTGACCCATTCCTGAGTTCAGAACCATGTACAAGACACACTTTTAACCTTGAATTAGCTTTAAAAAAGACGCCGGATGGATTACCCTCTAGCATCATCGTTATAGCTCCTTTAGGTACATGTAATACTTTTATGATTCCGCCCAAAAAAATTTTTTGCAGATCTTATCGATTTTTATATATGGAAACTTTTAAAGAAACTGTAAACAATGAAAATGCTGCTGCTACTCAAGAAGCAGAAGAGGAAAATGACTTATTTGCAGATTTAAATCTAAAAACTGCAAAAACCACAACGACACAACAACAATCTTTTTCAAAACATCAGCAAACACCTTCACTCCCACCCATTCTACCAGATCATCCTTCAAGTGTTCAATGGGACACTATTACCAAGCAAATGGGTTAGTTTTAACTTATTTGGTCCTAACTTTATTAATTATATTATAATATCTGTGTCATAATTATAACATTTTTATAATCCCCACCTTTCTCGTCCTCAATATTATTTACCATCACCGTATTCGTCAAAATCTTTGATCTAATCAGCAAGTTCTATTTCCAATTTACAATTTATCACTGGCAATTCATTTGAATTACCGTCATCGTCATCATCATCATCATCACCATCATCACCATCATCATCTAAATTCAATAATATATCATTAAGTGAAATTGTCGAAGACCCCAACAAGACATCAGCTTTCAGATTTTCATATAATGGTAATAATAGTGATTATATTTAATGATAATGATAATAATTAATGTTTTAAATTTAAACAAAAAATTTTTAATTAATTAATCTAAAGGAGAAATTTCATCACCAAATCATTCTGAAAAAACAAATTTTGATTTCATTAATCATAATCATAATCGTGACCGTAACCATAATTCACATAATGAAAGAAATTCAACTCTGAATAACTTTGATGAAATTACACCTGGAGGTTTGTGATTGATTGGTTTTCCAAGTTTTGTATTATACACGCACACACAATATAAATTTAATATTTATTATACTTTTTTTATTGCATGACAATAAAAAAAAACTCAGATTTTAATTTTGTTTATCAATCTCAACAAAATCATAATAATCATACAAACTCCATGAATTCAAAAAAGTCTCGTCAAATTTTACCTAAAGCAAATAATAAAGTTTCATTGGAAGAACTTGGCATTGACTTAGACAATTCCAATGCTAATTACAACAATAATAATAACAATAGTAATAGTAATAGTAATAGTAATAGTAATAGTAATAGTAATAGTAATAATTATAATTATAATAATATAATCCCAACATTAACATCACAATCAAAGTTTTCTAATTTTATTGGAATGATTCCTAAACTGCAACAAATTTCTCAATCAACTTTTTCTTCAATGCTAAGTTCACCACCGCCAACACCACCAACACCAAATCAATTATCGCATCCATCACCAAGATCATTTAAAGAACAAATAGAAATGGAATTATCAAATTTATACAAAGAACTAAATCAATTATCAACAACTCAATCACAATTATATGATAATAGGAATGAAATTTATAGAAATTTAATAGAGGTAAATAAAAATCTAGATAGTAATAATAGAAAAAGTTTATATATTCACAAGTTTACAATTATTTATTCGTTTACTTACCCTCTTCCGATTTTTTCATGAATTGTTAGAATTGGCAAAAAATGAAATCATTAGAGACAGACCAAGCAAACTCTTTAACAAAAGAGGATTATGCAATTGCTGATCGACTAACACAAAAAATAAAAGAACTACAATCATTCATGATGCAGAAAAAGAATTTATTGTCCAATGTTGATAAAACATTGAATCAATTATTTGGAAAACAAATTAATTTATTAAGAAAAATTAATGAGTTGAATGGAAGATTAGAGAAGGAACTTTCAACACAAAAAGTAATAATATATATTACAATAATAATTGGTATTATAATCTGATATTAATTTTCGTGATGATAATATTTATTATTTAGAATCAAGAAGATGAATATTTAAGGCAATTTAAAGCAGACATGGAAAATTTACATACTGTTGAAGATAGTCATATTAATAAATTGAGAGAAGAAATTGAAAAAGAGAGAAGGTTTGATTTCGAATGATTTTTAATAAATTAGAATGCAATAAATTCTAATAGTAATATTCATCAAAATAGCAATATTGTGTTAGATTTAGACTTATGGAGTAAAGAAGAATCAGAATTAAATGAAAAAATTGATGAGAAAACAAGAGACGAGAAATTGGAACGGGATTTATTAGTGAATAAGCAAGAAGGAATTAAAGTAAATTATTTTATTAATATATATATATATATATTTATTATATTTATCAATATTGATACACATAATATTGTTATTATTAAGATGAAAATTTTGGATCTATTAAAACAAATTGAACAATTGAAAATTGAAGAAAACGACTTTAGTCAACAGATTGGTGCAATTGATAAAAAAATAGAAAGCCTAAGTCAAGAATTTAACACTGACAGAGAATCACTAGCAAGAGAAAAATTTGAATTAGACAAAAGAGGAATTGAAATTGAAAACAATTTGGTAATAATTACAATTATTAATAATTAGAAAAATTATTGTTGTTATTGTTGTTTTTATTAATACCTGTTTTTATCATAATAAAATTTTTTGTTTATAGAGACTAGTAGACGAACAAGAAAATAAATTACATCAAAGATTAGAGCATTATAATAAACAATATGACTCGCGCAGATTGGAATTGGAATTATTGGAGAAACATATAGCTGAAATTAAGATTAATAATAAAATTTATAATGAAGAATTTATTGAAATTGAAAAATTAGTTGAAATGTTAAAAGATAGAGCTCAAAGAGATTTTGATTGTGAAAAAGAAATATCAAAGTACGTAGATATGCATTATTGTCAATAATGATGATAATAATAACATATCGTTAATTATTAATGTAAAGTGTTAGGAAGAAGTTAGAAGAAATCGATAGCGAAGTTAAACGTTTAACATCTAAAGTTATACAAGACCAACAAACATATTCAACAATTCAACAAGATATTACAGCAATCAACACTCAAATACCATCTTTAGAAGAACAAAAAAAATTAGCAGTTTCTGGTAAAAAAATTTTTTTTAATAAAACAAACAAACGAATTAATTAATTTATTAATTGATCTATTAATAACTTTAATATTAAGGAAGGGATTTTAAGTCTGCTGGAAGATTATCAAGTCGAATTAAGGACTTACTGGCAACTAAAGATGAACGTCAAAAATATTTAGAATTAAAACGTTCAAGTTTAGGAATTGATCAAGAAAATTTGAGAAAAGCAAGAGAAAATTTGGAACATTACAATTTAGAGTTGGTTGAAATCGAGGAAAAAATTGGTAAAATTTTCAGTTTTATTAATTAATTAATGAAGATAATTGTGATTATGATTATTATGATATTGATGTTTATGATTTTGATTTTTAACTACTGACAATTTTTGTTCTTTGAAAATCATAGGATCTGAGTTACGTGAGGAATTACAAGAAATATTGCTACAACTTCGATCAAAATATGATTTGTATGTATTTCTCTAATATATAAATAATCACACACTTCACATATTATTTTCAATTTTCTAATATAAAGACAAAAATTCTTATAAATTATTTATTATATTCAGATCAGTAGAAAAAAATTTGACAATATTACAAGAACTATTAAAACATGAAATCAAAGGAATAGAATATCGTATTGAAAATATTAAATTAAGGTGTGGTGGTGGTGTATTGTTGAGTGATAAACAAGGTGGCGTGGAGGATAAAGGAGATTTATCGAAAGAAAATAAATTAATGAACAATCATCAAAATCAAAATAATTTGGAAAATTCATGTTTGTACAAAAAAACATTTTAATTTTAAAAATGATGATTTACGATTTTTAAAATGATTTTATTAATTTATCAATCAATTTAGTGAATAATAAAGTTGTTAATGATGATGATAAAGTTCGTCTTGAAGAGTTGGAAAAAAGATTACAAGAGGCCGTGGGTCATGAAGATTATCATCTTGCAGGTAACTAAAAAAAACTTGGGATTTTTCTTAATTATTGTTAAAATTAATAATGTTTTAATTTCTATTTTTTTATAGATCAAATACAAAATGAGATTGGGAAAATTCACGAGAACATTTAAACAAGAAATGTAATAATATATATTATATATAGACAATATATACATCAATAATTATAGAATTTCAACTTATTTACCATTATTTATTTATTATGCTACCACTAATCCTGATCCTAATCCTAATAATTATAAAATTATAATAAATATTTTTAACCTTGTATAAATAATCAAGTCTGCTAATAGGTTAAATAAAAAAAAGTCATTTAAAATCATTTAATAAAAAAACCATTGCGATCGACCTCAACAGTTTTAGGTCATTTATATAAATAAAGTCAAAATTCAGTTTGGAAATCATGTAATAATCATTGGAAATGCCAGAATTTTATGAGGTATATAATATCGCTAGTTTTTCAGCAATCTGATCACCAATTTATATGAGATAATTTAAAACTAGATAGATAATAAAGTGTATTACAACTTATATAAATAATAGGTACACTTATGGGGCTTTTCAATAGAAACGGACCATGTTATTTTGAGAATTAAAAAAAAGGTCTGCATTTCAAGCAATTTAATATTGTTTTTAAAACTTTAGAAAGGTATCCCAAAATTTTATCAAGTAAAACGGATATAGTTTCCAAGCCAAAATGTTCTACATGAGGAGTTACATATAGCAGCGATATTAACTCAAAGTTGCTTTTTTCACAACATGGTCCGTTTCTATTGAAAGGCCTCATACTCTTAAAAAATATACACAAATTCATACAATTCTATATAAGTGATTTTTCTCTTTTCTGGAAAAAACCAATAAATTCACTTGATTCAACAGATAATAAATTTTTCTTTAAAGTAAACAGATACGATATATCCAGCACAACGGCAAAATACTAATATGGTGGGTAGTTTAGAGAAGGGACCGATCAGTTTTGTAAATCTTGCTGTTGGTGGTGGCAACTTTGAAAATTTAGATAAAATTTGTTTTTTTAAACCTGCCCACGCTTCTTCATACCTTCTCAACAGTATTAATTGTCAAACCTATTTTTAAAACTATTTTGGAGAGGCAGATTAAAAGTTACACGTCAAAACTAAAACAAAAGTCAAAAGTTGAACCAGTTTCTATAATTTGGAAACGAACACTAATAGTCAAAAAATAAAATGAATTATGATAGTTGACCAGAGGTTTTTGGGGGCACTATATATATATTACCACAATATGCTTATGGTGGTAAAATTCACCAGAAATGGCGTTATGAAAATAAAATTTATAATTTATAAATTTAGGATGATGTTTACTATTATCTTATTTATTTATCTCATCATCAACCTGTACTGTATTATAAACAACAAATGATGGAACAATTTCGGGACCTCGTTTAAAAACATTAACATTCAAATTATCTTTTTAAATAAATCCTAAACCTTTACCACTTTTTTTATTTTAGTTTATTTTTCGTTTAAAGCGAAGCGTTTAGTAAAAGTTATGTTTTATTTGCTTTAATTAGTAAGCAAAAGTTGGAATTAATGTTGGTTAACTACCGAGTGTTAACAATAGTCAGTTATTATTGTTACAGCCATTTTGTATTTGATAGGATTTGGCAATGTTCTCATTGTAAAATGATTTATGATTGTTATGATTTGGTGAACTTTATTAACAAAAATCAATTATTATTATTTGTTTGTGTGTGTTTTGCTATATTTATTTTGAGTCAATGTTTATGTAACCTTTAATAATGAACCATCTTTTAAATCAAAAACAAATCCATGAATTTGTATTTTTTGTTTAGCAGATTTAACAAGATAATTTTCACTAATTTTTTCCACTTGCTTCACAACATTAGCTTTGACCAATTTGTCTTGAGCTGCAGAAGTATCAAAATATGGATTGGTGTGAGAGAAATCAGAGTTTATTGCTTTCAATTCACGTATTCCTTCCAACCATTTTTCTAGATTAGGTTCAAGGCTTGGTTCAAAACAGCTTTTGCTCCACCACAACCTGTATGACCTAAAGAGGGATAAAAAGATATTATCATTTTCATTAAAAAGAATTGAATGTTTTAAATCAAAACTTGTTATTATTATTTACCACAGATAACAATATGAGAAACCTTCAAATGATTGACAGCATATTCTAACACTGACAAGCAATTGGCATCATTGGGGTTGAATTGATTTGCTATGTTACGATGCACAAATAATTCGCCAAATCCTGATTTAGTGATGAGTTCAGGCGGAACGCTAGAATCAGAACATCCTATAATGAATGAATGAATGAATGAACAAATAAATTATCTCCACCAGATACTATTTTTATAACTATAATAATAAAAATCAATTTAAGCTTTACCGATCCAAAGAACTTTTGGTTCTTGTTTTTTAAGTTTATCAAAAAATTCTTTATTGTACTTATTTCACTTGACCATTGTTGGTTATTTTCAAGTAATTCTTCAATTTTATTATCGCCATTAAAATCTTTCTTCACTTCTTTAACAGATAAGCGCCAGTTATGATAACGAAAATTACTATTTGATAGAATGATAATTTAATATTTTTGTGATTTGGATCAACTTCATTAGTATGACAAATCACACCTGATTGCTCCATTAACCGCATCATAGGAGTGAGCTTTTCCAATATATAGTGGTCCATCATTGAACAGAATATTTTCCGTTTTAACATCATAAAGACTATAGCACCTGGCCAATTCACCGTCTATGTAAAGATCTAATCTTTTTTCAGAATCAGAAATTGTATAAGCTATATGGTACCATTTGTTTAATGAAAGTGGGGGAGTAGTTGAGCAGTCAATTGCTACATAACCACTCCAGTTGCCTGAAAAGTAAGCATCCAGTTTCTCTCCACACATCCAAATCACAGGTGTGCAGACTGTATCACTATTACCTAAATGTTGAAACCGAGAAAGCACCAGTTAGACAAGATTCTAAAAAAACCAATTTTAACCAATAAGCATGCCTTTGTGAAAAATAGTAGTCCAGTTAGGATCATAACTCGAAAGTTTCAATCGGAATGTCACTGACACCCAGTGTTGGAAATTCGTCGATCTTATGATCTGCAAAAAAAAATTTGTGCACATATGAACACAAGAAATTTTTATTT